CGACCTGGTCCTGTTAGTTCGAGTTTAAAGCCTTTTTGCCTGAAATATCCAGTGGAGTCAGATCTGGTCAATGCGGAGGCCAATGAAAGTTTGCAGTGATTTCGTTCGATGGAAGTCAGGAAACCAAATAATTAATAGAAATCGCCATTTTATACATATATACTTCTCCCTGAGGACACTGAAAACACTCACTGCCTTGAGAGGCAGTGAGTTAAATAATTTTTGAGCACTTAGAGGCCCCAAAGTCAGGTGGCCAATGGCCATTTTATATTAATTAATTTCCCAGTATTCTTCTAATGCTCAACTTAGTCTTTCGCACAAAGTCTAGCGGCGTTAGGTCTGGGCGCAGAGGTGGCCGATTGAAGAAAACATGGTAAGAATGCGAAAAATGTACCAGGAGTGTTAGTTATTCATCAGACTTATGTACTGCCCAACATATGCGACTCTAAAGACGAAGTCTAATGGGATTAGATCTGGTAAAATGGGCAGTTGACTGCACCCATCTGCTTGCATCAATATGGAAATGGCAAGGAAAAAATTGGGGCTCAGATTCTTGGAAAATTGTCTGATCTCCGTGGACAGCGAGCAAATTGATCAGGTTCCTGATTGGGTTCTGGCCTTTAAACCACCCAACTTAAGCGGCTGGTTAGAGAACCATCCCAAGCAAGAGGTCGCTTCGAGCTTGCAACTGGTTTTCGTAAAGTTTGTGGGCGAAAAATCTATTTTTGATGAGGTACCCGTTTATATAGCGCAACCACATCCGGTTCGAAACAAGTAAATCGACTACGGCCTACCTTTGAGCGCGCGGATTAGGCAATCCCCAACATAAATCCAGTGTTTCTTGTAGCTCCAGGCGGACACTGTTCACTTAATAGAGAATCATAGATTTGACACACACAGTCACTGGTGAGCAATACGTTAATTGCAATCAGATCGACAATTTCCACATGAATCCTCGTCGACGTTCTTCACTGGCGCGACTACGGTACCACCGGTACCATCTGTTTTCCTACCGCAATCAACATTTACATACAATATTTCAAGATCTTCCAGCGACGGGTTCTAAACAATGGGAACCAACGGCACGACAAAGTACCCGCACCAATTTCGTGGCGTACCTCTGAGGTACTGCAAAAGACTGGCCGAAGGAGCTGGGAGCCGAATAGGCCGCACGAAGAGGGGCGCAGGTGCTCGAATCTAAATCTGACCCACACCGTCGAAATTTCAAATGAGGTACTGGGTCTCTGGTACCAACCGAGTGGGTATGCTGTCGGCTAGCGTACGGTTCTTCGGTTTCCTTCATCTAGACGCAACGCGTTTCAAGGCTGACTTTGCGCTGGTGCGTTTCGGGGGAATGACGGAACCGTTTGCCGATGGTTCATGGTTCTCATCTATCTGTCTCATGCTGTTCGGCTACGAACTTTCTGAGTCGCCGCACACTCACCAGGGCTGTAGCGCTCAGGAGAAAACTCGAAGATTCTCTCAGGCTTTCCGCCTGTGAGGTGGTGGTTCCCAGTAGGTTCCGGGTTGAAATGTCGGTGAAAAGTTTCGGAAAACTTATCTCCTCTGTCCGGCGGAATAGGGAAGGTGCCTTTACTCCTCAGCAGTTCATGTGGTGTTAGCGAGGTTTGTCTGAGACCTGGAGAAAATTGAACTAAAATTATTCATTTGCCAAATGTACAGGGTGTTGCATCGGCGCAAAGCTTTTTTTGGGTTTCTGTAGAGTTCAATTGCTTTTTGATATACAGGGTTATTTACGCTATACGGCACGGAAGTTTGCGCGGCTAAACCGTTTGATTTTTAAAAAGTATTATTTTATGAATTGTCCGACGCTTACCCAGCGCACATTTTAAAAATATTTTCGTAATGTAATTTTTAATGGAATGTCCTGTATATTATTGCATTTTTGGATTCGCTGAACAAAATAAGTGTCTGTTTTAATACGGTTTATAACACCTAAATCTAAAGGTTTTTTAAATAATACGAATTTAATCAAAATCTAATCTAATTTTCACGTGTCAAATACTTTAGAAGTATTTAAGTTATGTAAGCGTAATTTA